TAATAAAAGAAAGCAGAGTTAGTCGATCTTATTTTTCTCCTTCAGCCACATCATAGATTACTAAATGACTAATAATTTCAGTGAACTTTATTCAAGAGACCAATCCTAACCAGCTAGTGACTATTTGGTGTCATGTGGCATGAAACATGGCTGACTGGGTTATTCGAGTACCATTTTCCTCCTCAGGGTGTGTGAGTGTGCCAAATGCCTTACACAATTAGATTCCAACTCTGGTCCAGCTTGAAGGGGACTTGCCCCAGGAACCATGACTGTTGCTGGCTTGGCTTGAGTCCTTATCCATCCAGGATATTGCACCCATGAATACACAGAGAATAAATTTAAGGTATCATACTAACAATATTATATTGAGAGGCCGGAGAGATGGCTCAGAGCAGTCCACTGCTCTCTCAGAGGACCCAAGTTTGGTTCCCAGCACCCACATGACAGCTTACAGCCATCTGTAACTCTAGTTCCGGGGATCTAATCCTCCAGTGTGAGGGAGGGATTGGAGAACTATGAAGGAAGCTTTCACCAGATATAAGAGAGGAAGGAACGTCTCCCTCAGAGAAGTGGATATTGTTCTAAAAATGGAGGCAAATGAGACTCAGGAGATCAGAAGCATAAACCATCAGAACCCTTAGATGAGTCAGGAGTTGCTGGAGTCCATGTGTGCAGGATACCTCTGGGCAGGGCACAGCTGGAAGGGTGACTGACTCTCAGTTTTTCCATGTGATTGTGAGCTGCCATAGGAGTCACCAGCAAAGGCTTCAGGACAGAGATCTGAGGACAAGGAAAGACAGGAGGCTGAGTGTCTGGATGGGGCTTTAGTAACAAGTGCTGGGATTAACTCCAAACACTGTTTGGTTTTAGTTTTGGTTTTCTACACAGTTTCTCTGTGTAGCCCTGGTTGTCCTGGACCTCTCTCTGTAGATTAGGCTGACCTTGAACCCAAAGATCCACCTGCCTCTGCCCCCTGTGTGCTAGAATTGAGGAATGTGTGAGGATGTATATCTTAATAGGACCAGCAGTTCTGGTGTGTGTGTGTGTGTGTGTACATGTGTGTAGGTCAACCTTATCCTTTCCCAGGCACAGTCTATCTTCAGGATCTATCACTGGCTGGGAGCTAGGCTGGCCAGCAAGGAACCCCCAGGGATCCATGTGTCTTTAGCTCCCCAGCACTGGGTCCTGGTCTTCCCCCAAGGCAAGCACTTTACTCACTGAGCTAGCCTCACGGCTCCAGAATTCCTCCTTTGGTATGTAGCTGTTTATTTTCTTATCTGTGAAATGAGGGTGACAATTCTCTATCCACCCCAAATAAGAATGAACAAATGCACTGGAGTAGTTAAGGGCATATGCTTCTCTTCCAGGGGACTAGGGTTCAGTTGCCAGGAGCCAGGTCAGATGGTATACAGCCAGCTGTAACTCCAGCTACAGGGGATATGACTCCTTCTTTTGACCTTTACAGGTACTGCCTATGTGCACACATGTACACACATATAAATAAAATCTGTAAAGAAAGTAAAAAAGCTACCAGGTCTGAGAAGCACCTGACACGTGTCCTGTAGGCCAACAAGAGATGGAAGCCTCTTCCTTTGCTGCACTTCGGGCTCAGCATCTTCTCTGTACCATTTCTTGTGCACAGCTTTAGGTAATCCTTCTGGCGTCTTCTGCTCTCTCCCACTTTAGAGGAGGGCGCAGTGAGACACCGAGGAGTGAAGTCACTCACCTGAAGTCACAGGGTGAGCAACTCTGTGTTGGATTGACCTGTGAGGCCACGTTCTTTTCTGTCACACCCTGAGGCAGAATGGCTCAGCAGGACTGAGAGTAAGGAGGCGGCTCTGTGGGTGCTAGGTGGTTTGCAAAATACTGTTTATTTAAGTATCTCCAGCTGATGCAGGTTCACTGCTGAAGAAAACAACAGTGAACGCCACACATGGTTCACTGAGCCCAGGGACCGGTGTTTAATCACAAAACCAGCCTTACTAATGAAGACCATGACAGGGATAGACATGAACACTAACATCTAGGGATTTCAAGATCAACAGGCCTTTCAAAGACCAGAGCTTGCCTTCCCTTACTACCATGACCCCTTCACAATGGAGTCAGTCTCACGTGGTCCAGGTAGACTTGCAGTACCTATGTACCTTAAACTGATCTTCCTGCTTCCAACCTCTCCAGTTACTAGGATTGCAATCATGAACCACCACACCTGTTTATGCAGTGCTTCCTGGACACCACCAATGCTTGCTTTGGGAGTCCAAGTCAGGAAGGCTAACACTTCCTGGGGCCAGAGTACCATGATGAGGTCTGCATTCTGGGATCTAATTTGGGACTAGAAAGAGAAAGAGCCTTGAGCCTTAGTAACTTAGCTTGAATATAGTAATCATGGTTTTGTGTCAGGACAGGGCTGCTTGGTAGAAATTATCTTAGAATTGGTTGGAAGGATAAAAATTGTGTCTGGAAGTCATGTTCAGTGGAAAAGGTGGTCATCCCAGCTACTAGGGAAACAAAGGCATGACAGGAGGACCTGGCATTCAGGTATAGAGTAAGTTCAAATTCAACCTCAGGTGCAGAATGAGACACTCTATCAAAATGAAAATAAAAAGAGGTCTCAAAATGTAGCTCAATAGTACAGCCCCTGCCTAGAATCCCCCAGTGAGGGGCTTGGGGTGTGGCTTATTGGTAGAGTACCTGCCTGGACTTCCTCAGTGAGTGGATGGGGGCGTGGCTCCCAGCTTCCTGCTCCAGTTGCCATGGCTGCTACCCATCACTATGGATGCCAACCCTCTGGAACCATAAGCCAGAATAAACCCTTCTATAAGTCATTTTATTTGTGTATTTGTGTTTTGTCATAAGAACAAAAATGTAACCAATACACACACACACATTGCTACTTCACATCTGTTTATCTGCATCACGTGGGTGTGTGGGTGCATGTACCCATGCATATGTGGAGAAGGGGCAAGCAAGATATAAGGTGCCTTTCTTTATCACTTCCTACCTCAGCACCATGAAACAGCTCTCTCTCGCTCTCTCTCTCTCTCTCTCTCTCTCTCTCTCTCTCTCTCTGTGAACCAGAAGCTTGCCAGTCAGCTAGGCTGCCTGACCAACAAGGTCTTGTGATCTGCCTGTCTCCATCCACTCTCAATAACAGGGTTGCAGGCATACACAACATGGGGTTGTAGGCATACACAGCATGTTTGGCTTTTTATGTGGGTGCTGAGGATTTGAACTCAGGTCCTCAAGCTTGAAGAGCAAGTACCAACTGAGCCATTTCCCTAGCCTTAACATGAGTTGATTATTGTTTTTACGAAAGTCTACCAACACCTTGAAATAAAAGAGTCTCTATGCAAGTGTATGCATCTCTGTATCTTACATGTGGGCCAGCCTAGTATACAGTGGGTGCTCAGTACAGCTCTTTCCAGTGTTTGAGGGATTGAGTCTGAAGCAGGATATGGCATGAGTACTGTGAAGAAAGCTAGGACCAGAGAAAGACTTGGCTTTTAACTTCTATGGTTTGATATAGGGCTCCAGAGAGAAATGTTAACACAGATCTGACACTCCCACATCTGGAAGTCAAGTGGGAGGATCACTTCAAGGCAAGCATAGGCTATAAAGTGACAGCCAGTCTCTGGAAGAGAATGGAGAAGAAAGAGGGGGAGGGCAAAGAGTTTAGAACTGGATTTGGCTCTCTACTGAAGGCCATATATGAGTTGGCATTGTATTCAACTCCAAGAGTGAATAGCTATAACCCAGAAGGATGCTTGAAACAGTCAGGAGAGGCAGGTACGCCGTTGCAGATGTGTCCATTGGCTCAGGAATGACATTGCGACCCCAGAAGGTCACCTCAGTTTGTCCACAGTGTGTTGGCCTAGCTTACTGCCATGTTTTTCATGGTTCTAAGAAGCATGCTACAGTCTCAGAATTGGCACCCAGAAGGGGGACACCACCAAGCAGGATGAAAAGCAAGTCGCCTTTTAATTTTTTTTTTTATGAGATAGTATCTTGTGCGAGCCTACTCACGTAGCTAAAGACAACTCTGATTCCTGATGCCCTCTGTGTTGGGAGCTGTGCTGTCACATCTACCTGCCTGCCTGTGTCTCCTTTTGAACATAAGAATCCCCCAGTGAGGGGTGAGGGTGTGACTCAGCAGTAGAGCACTCACCTACTAAGTGCAAGGTGCTGGGCTTAATCTCCAATACTCTCCCCATCATAGGAAGGTAGAGTGGAATCTTTTGAAAAAAAAGGGGGGAGATAAGGAGACCTGTGTAGGGGTGGTGACTATTAGATAATGCTTGATACTTACATTTTTGTTATTAAAAACCATAATATATGTTTATGTAAGTATATTAGGATTATTAAATGTATAAGTATTAAAATGTATATAATGTATTAAATGTATAAAATGTATTAAATGTAAAAATATATTATAAAACATAATCAGTGTATTATTTGATTAAAGATCAATATGACTGCTGGCTAGATGGCTCCATGGGAAAAGATGCTTGCTACCAGATCCACATGATGAAAGGAGAGAACAAGTCTCTAAAGTTGTTCTCTGTCCTCCACATATAAACCATGGCACAAATGCACACAGACAATAAATAAAATAATTTACAATTTTTAAAAGAACATGAGGACAGAGACTAGACCTATATCCATAAGAGCCCTGCTGGTGTTGGGTGTGAAATCTTTTTTTTTTTTTAATTTTATATCTGTTTGGGCTGGGAGCGAATTCAGCCTCAAAGGCAGTACTGGATCCAGCAGGCAGGAGTTCCAACATATTGGTCACAATGATGGAGTGGAGTCTGGGCTACCCTGAGAGAAAGTTAGAGAGAGAAAATGATCTTTGTAAGGCTCCAAACTGAATGCCCCTCTGCTTTCTGCTCCACGACTCACTCTCTGACATGTGGGTGTTAGAATGTGTGGGGGCTGGCTTCCATATGGGAGTCGCCCTACCTGACTGCAGTAAAGAGGGTGGAGGGAAAGATCTATGATATCAACTGTTGGGGCTGCCTCAGGGATTTCGGATAACCTTAAGCTCAAAGCAGAGGGAAGGCACCCAGAGACAGCTCCACCTGTGCCCCAGGGAGCTGGAGGTGGTGCGGGGGCAGGGGAGATATAAAAGGACCAGCCCTATAGAAGGCTGAAGACACTGGGCTCCGGATCAAGGACAGAGCTTAGCCAAGTCACTCCCAGGTGAGAGGAGCTTTCATCAGGGAGTGTACACAAACCTCCCTGGAGACTGAGGCTCCAGGGTCCTAGACAAGAGGCCGTGAGGGGCACAAGAGGATTGCTATCCACCCACAAGCTAAAAGTGAAGGAGCTTAGGTGCTGCCCTGGGACAGGGTCTAAAAGAGGAGAGCTGGGGTCTGAATACAAGGATCTGAGGAAGAAGGTCAGGGCCTGGACATTTGGATCTAAGGGAAGACAGCTAGAATTGGACTCCAGGGTCTGAGAGAGAACGTCTGGAGTCTAAAACCCCAAGGACTGAGGGAGGAGGACTCTGACTAGATTTCTGAATCCCAGAGAGAGGATACCGGAGGCTTGAACTCCTGAATACGAGGAAGGAGGTGTAGGGCTGTGTCTTAGTGTCTCATCTTTCATTGTCCCTTGCTCTGGCAACATTTAGCTCTCTCATCTGGCAGTCCCTGAGCCACTGTCACCAAGATGGGAGTCTGGCTCCTTTCCCTGCTAACTGTGCTGCTGTCTTTAGCCCTGGAGACTGCTGGTCAAGGTAAGGCTTGCTCAGTGTTCCCAACAGCCTGAGTCTGAATCCCTGCTCCCAGACAGCTCCTGCCAGGTGGTCTGACCCTGTGACTCTGTGGTCCTGTGCTGTCTTTTCTTCTATTCTCAATCAGACAGAGTCCCTGGGACCTCTGCTTGCTCCAGCAGTCTGTGGCTATCATGGGTTTTCTGAGTAGTCCCCAGTCTCTCTCCCTAATCCACTTTCACATCCTTGGCATGATTCTCCATCCCAGCCTTTGCCTTTCCTCCTGAGCCTTATAGACTCATCTCTGACTGTAAATCCCTGTTTACTCTCATTCTCCCCCTGATGGCGGCTAAAAAGGAGAAAGAATTATAGATGGCTACCCATGTGCAGAAGGCTCAAAACCATGGCAGGTGGCTCTGCTCAAAAACGACCAGCTTCACTGTGGAGCGGTGCTGGTTAATGAACTCTGGGTGCTCACAGCAGCCCACTGCAAAATGGGGTAGGTACTGCAAGGGCAGGCAGGCCAAGTCTCTCTGTAAGAGTCGTCTGCCCTCGCCTTCCTCTCTTTCTGTTCTGTTCCTCTCTGTGTGTATTTCTACCATCTCTCTTTGGTTCTGGATTTTTTTTCTATGTTCTCTTCATCTCTCTGGCTCTTCTTCTCAGTTTCCCTTTCTTTCTCCCTCTCCCTCATTTCCTCTCTTTCCCGTCCTCCTCTTTCCTCCCTCCCTCCTTCTCTGAGCGTCACCCTCTTCTCCCAGTCAGTACTACGTGCATCTGGGCAGTGATAAAATAGGGGATCAGAGTGGCCAGAAGATCAAGGCTACAAGGTCATTCCGACACCCTGGCTACTCCACAAAGACCCATGCCTATGATATCATGCTTGTGAAGCTGGACAAGCCGGTCAAGATGTCATCCAGAGTGCAGAAAGTCAAGCTTCCTACACGCTGTGAACCCCCAGGGACACCGTGTACCGTTTCTGGATGGGGCACCACAACCAGCCCAGATGGTGAGATTGTCTCAGTGTGGGTTCCAGTATAGCTCCCTCCCTAACACCAAGAGTTCAGACCTGGGCCTTCCTCCCTCAATCCAGAAATCCAAATCCCAGCCCTCTTCCTTCAGATACCTGATCTTGACCCAGTCCCCCAGCCTCCCTACCCACCCAACCCAGTCCGTTACTGAAGCCCTCCTCCTCCTCACAGTGACCTTTCCCTCGGATCTTATGTGCTCGGATGTGAAAATCATCTCCTCCAAGGAGTGCAAGAAGGTGTACAAGGACCTACTGGGGAAAACCATGCTGTGTGCTGGCATTCCTGACTCTAAGACCAACACATGCAATGTGAGCCCCCACTGCCCCCACTCTCCAGCCAAGCCCCTGTCTCTCCACATTAGCACGAAGCTCCTTGTCCCAGCCTGTCCTGGCCATGGTCCAGATCCTACTTCCTAGCTCTCTTGCTTTCTGCGGGTTAACAATCTTGATCCATGCGCGGACTACACTAGCCAGAGGCCAGTAGTTTAGTGGAGCTGAGAAAGATGGAAACAGAAATGTAGGATTATGAGTGAGCCTCCTGCTTCCAGCCCAAACTTTGCAGAAGTTTCAAAACTCCGTGATTGGTATTATTTCATTTATGCACTTTTGAGACAGTATTCTCTGTGGTTCAGGCTTGTCTGAACCTCACTCTGTAACTCAGGTTATCCTGAAATAACCAAGGCTAACCTAGAACTATGTAGCCAAGGCTGGCCTCAAATTCACAGGAATACACCTGCTTCCGCCTCCTGAGTGAAGAGCTTACAGGATTGAGCAGTACACTGAATGGAACATTCCTTGTTAAGTTTGTTTCTAAGATTTATTTAAAACGTTTTTATATGTGTGAATGTCTTGCCTGAGTATATGTGAGTATGCTATATGCGTGTCTGGTACCCAAAGAGGCCAGAAAGGGGCATCAGATGCTCTGGAGCTGAGGTTACAAGTGTTTGTGAGCTACAATGTGGGTGCTGGGAACTAGACCTGGGTCCTCTACGAGAGCAGGCAGTGCTCTTAACCACTGAGTCATCTCAGTAGGCCCCTGGTTTATTTTTGAGTCAAGACTGTGTAACCCTGTTTGGTCTTAAACTTGCTCTATAGCTGAGGCAGGGTTTGAATCCCTGGTCCTTCTGTCTCAGCCTCTGGAATGGTGGTATCCAGTTGCCTCTGGATTTTATGATGACTCTGGATATTTTCTGCCTGATCCAGATGCCTGACCATGGTCTTGGTCCTGGGACAAGAATGGATCTCTCTTGACTCTCCCCTGCACCCTTTCTTCACAGCTTGTCAGGAGCCTCTGTCTTTGGACAACATATTCCCACTTCTTTCTTTTTATTCCTAATTTTATTTTATCCTTTGCCTTTTTGCTGTCTCTTTGTCCTGAACTGGCTTCTGCCTCTGTTTCCCTTGCCCCCTCCCCTTTGGCTCTTGCCAATCTCCCTAGTTCACTCTCCCTTTCTCCCTTCTTCTTTCTCTCTTCTTCCCCTTCTCTCTCATCTTCTTGTCTCCTCTCTCTTCTTTCTTCTTCTTCCTCCCTCCTTCCTCACATGCCTCCTCCTTCTTCCCCTCTCCACCTTCTCTCTCATCTTCTTTATCTTCCTTCATCTCCCCCTCCCTTCACTTCCTTCCTCCCCAACCGCCTCACCTCTCAGGACAGATGCTATGCTGTGTGTTGAAGGACTGATTGGCAGGAGACACATTTCTGTCCCTGTGAACTAGGAATCCCCTCTCCCTTGGCTAGAGTCAGCTTCCTGACAGCCCAAGGGAATACCTACCCAATCCCTAGAGAAGACTCTCCTCACCAGTCTTAATTATTAGACTTTGTCAGAAAGGAAATTATATTCAAATGCCCACAAGTCCCACCCTTTCCTGCCAAGAAGCTCTAATGATAAATCCAGGTCATCAATATGATTTTATGAATTCCTACTTTCCCATTGGTTCCAAAAATCCATGCTCCTTAACTAGGGTGGAAGTCAATTCAGATTGCCAGGGCAAAGGCTTGAGCTAGACATCCTTTAGTCTGAGGGTGACTTAGGGGTCACAGAGCTTTCCTCTGAAGCCAAAACTAACCTCCTCTGTTCTCCATAGGGTGACTCAGGGGGGCCCTTGGTGTGCAATGACACCCTTCAAGGTCTGGTGTCCTGGGGAACCTACCCATGTGGCCAGCCCAACGACCCAGGCGTCTACACTCAAGTCTGCAAGTACACACGGTGGATAGATGAAACCATCAAAATGTATAGCTAACGTGCCAGGAGCCGAGCTGTGAGCCTCCAAGGCTATGCTCATAGAGTAAGGACATCATGGGAGCCCTGTCAAGTCCTAACTGGCTTTCCGTTTCCTCCAGGACATAGCCAAACCTCAACACTATGTTAAGTTTATAAGCAATCAACCCCAGAGACCTAAAAGCAAACCAAGTCAAGAGACTAAGAATCCTGAGGGCTGTGGAAGATGCTCGAAGACTAACACTTCCCAGTGCAAGAGCTGAGGCTTCCCACAGTCCTTTACTGGGAAGTGGCTTGTAACTTCAAGACCTTCATGCACTGCCTTTGACTCAGGCCACCCACTGCTAGAAAGTTCTTTAAAAAAAAAAAAAAGAACCAAGTTTGGATTCATTACATTACTTATTGTAGAGGAAGAAAAGGACGGAAACTGTTAACATGTTCAAAATAGTAGATTATTTAAATGAAAGTCGGATTTCTCTCGTTATGAAGTTGTGAGAAATAATGCCTAAGGTGTAATGCTTAGCCTTATACAAGAGAGACTCTTGTTGTATGATGTTTAATGCAGACATGGACTGGACATGCCAGGTTAATAAAATCTAAGTGATATTGATGTGTGTGCTCATAGCCTGGAAAACAATGATGGGGGAGCTGGGGCCTCGATGGTGGAGGGGGAGACCCATGAGGAAGGGTTGGCTAAGAAATTATAGCTGGGCCAGCAAGATGGCTCAGTGGGTAAAGGCACTTGCTGGCAAGCCTGACATGACTTAAGTTTCATCTCTAGGGCCTACACGGAGGAAGGAAATAACTGGCTCCTGCATGCTATCCTCTGACCTCCGGGCATGCTGTGGCACACGTGCACCTGCATGCATACGTGGACACAAAAACAGATTAAAATGTAAATAAAATAGTCTTCATATTTTTAACTTTTAAGGACATTGTAGCTTGTTTTCAGCCTGGTCCTGGTGGGTTTTCTTTATTTCTTGAGTTTCTGTTTTCTTACATGTAAAAAGGGGAGATGGGAAGGGAGGACAGAAAAAAGGAGTGAAAGGGAAGATGGGAGGGGAGCAAGAATGGACGGTAAATATGTACATCACCAAGGTGAAGGGACGGGGGAGGGCCCACATTTCTCTCAGGTGACGGGAAGTTTTCAATGGCGGGTGGAGGAGACAGAAACTGGACATTTAGGTCCTCTGGGGGTCAGCCAAAAGTGAGCATCCAGAAACTCGGGGTCAAGGAAGATGGCCTCCTTCCCAGAAGGTCAGGGGGCTCTGGAAGGGAGGGGCTTTGTGACTCAGAGCAGAGTCACACCTAGGCAATTTGGCTTCCTTCTCTGGGCAGTGACACCTTAGAATCTGCTGACAAAGGGATGCAGTGCCACAAGATCCTGACCCTCCCACCTATCCTTCCTGTTTCTCTCCCAGAATTCCTTCCCCACAAACATAATTTGAGTTCTTCAGAGTCTCCACTGACCGCCCTCTGCCAGTCAGCCAGAAATGCTGCAGCTACTAAACTCTGCACAGGGTGACACAGAGCACAGACCTCAGACTCCTCCCTCAGGCTCAGGGGTCTTGGCCCCAGCTTCCTCAGACTTAGGGATGGATTCTGGTCCCAGCCTTCTTCCTCAGTCTCAAAATTCTAGACTCCTCCTCCCACAGACCCAGGAATCCAGGCCCAGCTCTTCTTTCTCAGGTTCCAAGTCCTACTCATCCTCCCTCAGAGCCAAGAGTCCAGACCCAGGCTTTCCTTATCAGCCTTAAGTCCAGACCTAGTGTTTTCTGAACTGGTGTCTCATTTAAGGAATACCAAAGGAATGTGGCCGTCCATCTCCACAGAATCTCACCAGCTTTTCCTCTCTTCAAACCACTCAATCATCATTCAATCTAAAAACTTAAAGGGCCGGGTATAGTGGTATATATCTTTAATCTCAGCATTTGGGAGGCTACAACAGGGAGATGTCTATGAGTTTGAGGTCATTCTGTCCTATGTAGCCAGGCTAGTCAAGGCTATATAGTGAGACCCTGTCTCAAAAAGCTCAAGGGAGGGCCTCGGAGATGATTCAATGGGTAAGGTTCTGGCTGTGCAAGCCCGAGGATCTGAGTTCGCATTTCCAACACCCACATCAAATGCACACATGGCTGTTGTGTGTGTTTGTAGTCTTATTGCTGAAGAGATGGAGACTGAGGATGGGGGGTGGGGCTCACTTGCCAACCAGTCTATTTACCTCTCGACAGTCAGAGAAACTGTCTCAAAAAATAATGTGGAGAGATCCAATGTCAACATTCACACACACACACACACACACACACACACACACACACACCTCAGAAATAAAATAAAACGTAACTTAAAAAAAAAGTAACCGAGCCTCACAGTGATACTGACTAAGCCCGGCTGGCTACAGCGAGGGTTTGATGGGTTACAAATACAGAAATTCATACTCAGTTGGATTCTGTGGAAAGGGCTTTGTTTTTCTTTGGTCAGACAGTAGACTTATAGCTAAAGTCAATAGCTCCTGGAACTTGCATTAAAAACCTACAGTGGTGCGTACAACCCATTTGTTGTGTGTGTATGTGTGTCTATCTCTCCTCTTGCCTCAGAGACCAGCAAGGGTGGACCTCCCCTTCATGGCTGGCTTTTGGCTTCATCTCCCGTTTTGCTGGTAACATTACAAAGGGAAATATCATCTTTGAATCCCTGTGGGGATCAGCCATGTGCCCTGACTGCTGTGCGTTAGTGACATGAGGTTTTATAGGGTAACTAACCACTTTCTGATTGGGTTTGATGCCCATTTTACAGGAGGGGATTCATACCTGGTACTGTAAAACTGATCAGTAGCCCAGGGCTTGGGAAGTCATAGGCCCTGGGGGTAGGGGGGGTTACCAGGGGGACCTGTGGTTCTTTAGTTTAGATTGTTATGTTGCCAAAGTGCCCTCTAAGTACTTGTACCCCCATTATAGTGCTGCTCTTGACCTTGACCAGAGAAGCCTCTTTATGCAGTGGGAAGAAATACAGAGACCTGATCAAAGTGGGTAAGGTGAGTGACTGTGAGTGCTCAGCCCTGACAGAACAACCCCATCAGTAACGCCAAGGCTCAGAGAGCACGGAGGGAGAGTGGATACAGGACACAAGTGGACAGTGCAGATGCTGTGAAACGCCACGCTCGGACGTGACAGTGGCCCTTGGACTCATGAACCCGCAGCAAGTATGGTTACCTACCTGAAAGGAGAGGGAAGCACGAGGGCTGGGCTGGGATCAAGACAAGATCCATCAGTATTTCAACAGAACTGACTCAATACTCTACAAAAATAAAAAGAAGCAAAGAAAAGAAAGGAGAGGACATGAAAGTGGGGGTGTCTGGGGGAGTAGGAGGTAGAGTAAGGGGTGACTGTAGTCAAGATACATTGTATGCGGGCATGAAATTATCAAAGAATAACACAAGATGATGCTCTTTTTAAAAAGCAAGTATGACATGCATCAAGTCAGCTTTGTAGATATTAAATGCCCAGGGCTCTCGTGAACAAGGAAAAGAGAGAGAGAGAGAGAGAGAGAGAGAGAGAGAGAGAGAGAGAGAGAGAGAAGACATCAGGTATTTGTTGAAGACCATTAAGAAAGACCTTCCTCCTGGTCAAAAGAATGGAGTCTACTCTGGTCTGGGTGGAGACTTGGCACTGATCTGCTTCGAAGATTAGAACTGACGATAGACTACTATCTCCTCAAGAGTTAATCCAGATGGACCTGTCAATCACCTGGTTAGGAGTGCACCTCTCAGGAAATCTGATTCACCTGAAGGCATGCTAAGGCAAAGGGCGGAGTAATTACCCCCTTAATGAGAGCACGCATTGAATTTATCCTTCCCAGAAGCCCCTCCTCCAGCAGGGGCTCCTGCTGCTTCCGCATCTCTGAGTTACTTTTCTTTCAGATACTGGTCCAAACCCAGGTATATATTTCCCTGATTTCTCACTCTCTCCCTCAAGTCCCCGTCCCCTTACACTTTCAGCAGCTTGCCAACCTCCATTGCTAAGCGTGCGAGCAGGGATCACAGTTTTCTCTCTTGCTCTTCCTTCTGTCTCCCTCCACTCGGCAGCTTGCCTTCTCTCTTTAAGATAATATTTTTATTAATTTAAAAATAATTTCATAAATGCCCTGTCTCCTCCCTCCCAGTCTCTAAATAAATTATCCCTCCAAGTTGGTTTTTACATTCTTTAATTAACAGAACTAAAAATTCCAAAAAAGGAACCTGTTTTTTTCAGGAATACCCTCCACCACCCACCCCCACACTCCCACATCCTCACACCCCTGAGTGTGTTGCTTCTTCTTTCTTTTATGCTTGTCTTCTCCCCTCTCTCCCCTGGCCTCCTGTCCCTTCTCTCCTTTCCAGCGCTGCCTCTCTCTCCCATCTCTCCCATCTCTCTTCTCCCTTCTCCCTTCCCCTTTCCTCCTCTCTCTTCTTTTCTTCCTTTCTACCTGTTTTGTTCTCCTTCCTCCCTGTTGTCTCTCTCCCTCTCCACCCTCCTCCTTATTCCTCTGTCTGGCTCTCTTCTTTTCCTTTCTTCTCCTTCCTCTCCATCTCCTTCCTCCCTCTCCCTCCTCCCAGGGGTAAGTAGATCCCCCAGCCCACTATCTGCCCTTACTATCTTGCTATCTTTCTTCCCCAACTGTTTTCCTTCATCCTCTACGTGGGAGGCAAAGCTCCCACCTCTTGGCATCATCATAGAGATCAAGTGATTCCTTATGTAAACAGTGGCTGGAACAGCATCATACAGCACAAAGCACAGAAGATAAGAGTTTGTTCTGGATGCACGTGACTTCTCACATTTTCCCTGCTTACTCTCATGAAGATTTTTTTTTAATTTTTTATTGAATATTTTGGTTGAATGAGTCAATTTAGATATAAACATTCACAGACTTAATCAATGCATATCCTGATCAGAGATAAGGATGGGGAGATAACGAACAGACTTAAACAACGCATGTCCTGATCAGAGGTAAGGATGGGAGATAACGAAGGTCACTGACAGATGCATGGACCTCATTCTCTCTGAAGACGTCCTGGTCCCACAAGTAACTTGGGAACAGAGAGGAGACAGCGGGCCAGGGATGGGCGAGAGAAGGCCATGAAAGACTCAGACCCTGCGTGTTCTCTCCTTTCTCCCCACAGATGATCCCTCTGGAGCCCACTTACCTAGTATTGTAGTAAGGAGTTTTATTATCATCTTTGGGGAAGAGGAATGGGCTGAATCACTCCCATTTTGGAACATGTCCATGTTAGAACACCACTGTGTTGAAATACTCCATTTTGGAACAATGTTAGACTATATACCGTGTTGGAAATCACTGTTTTAAGATAAATCATATATAATGTCAGGGCAGGGCATATTAGAACCCTCCATGTTGGAAGGCTGCCATTTTGGAACGTGCCATATTGGAAGGCTGCCATTTTGGTTTTGGAATACACCGTGTTTGGATGCTGCCATTTTGGCTCGTGTTCTATTGAAACACCACAGTGTTGGAAGTTGAGTTCCAGTTCAGGCTCTCCCATTTCCTGTGTGCTTGTAATTGAGGATGAACTTCCCTAGTCTGTGCCACTGTTTTCCTGTCCACAATAGGAGTAGATGTGATGAGGTCATGGTAGTCATGGGTCAACATTTCCCGAATTCCCTGTGGATGCAGCCATGAGTCAGCACAGTCCATGCCCTCCGGAGCTCAAGTTCCAGCAGGAAAGATGGACGTTGATAGAGATGGCTCTGGTCCAGGCTAACACCTGGAAGGAGACACCTGTGGAAACCCACGCAAGAGAATGACTAACTCAACCCCAGCAGGTGGCATTGGGTGGTGTCCAGTGGGAACTTGTTCTCAGAGGCAATGTTCCAGCCAAGAGCAGAGGGAGAAGAGGTGGTCGGCAGGAAAAGGTGGGGAAAGCATGGAACAGATGAGAAGTTTCAGAATCAGAGACTCCCTCTGAGATCACAGGGCATGGAGCCACTTGGGACACTTGATATGGTCTCCAAAGCTGGAGCACCAAAAGGTGGGGAGGGCTGGTCCAAGTGGTGTGTGGCCAAGGCATTCACAGGAGGGGTGACAAGGGATAAGATGAACTCCCACTGAGTTGAGTTAAAAGTGTAACAGGCCCGTCAGATTCCAAGCGTTCCATATGCCAGGACAGGAGGCAAATGGGTTCTTTGGTAACTTTCAGATCCTAAATCTATAAACTATTAATGTGTTGAGTTATATAATGGAACTGAATGGACTTCTGCTTTTCTTTGTTTCGTTTCACCATACCAGGGCTTGAACCCAGGGCCTCATACATGCTTAGTCAATACTGAGCTGCAGAGCTGTGACGTCAACTTTCTTTTTACTCTTAATTTAAGATGGGGATCTCATTCTGTAGCCTCAGCTGGCCTTGAACTTGCAGTATTCTTACCTCTGTCTCCCCACCAGCTGGGATGACAGGCCTATGCCACGAAATTCAGCCAATTGTTATATCTTTTTAGCTGTTTTCTTATTCTTACATTTACTTTCAAGGAACAAATGAAAATTACATATACTTATGGTATTTTAATAAATGTACACATGCAGTGTGGAATGGTTAAGGAAAGCTAGTTAACACAGGCATCACTTCACATCTGTGCGATAAGAACACGTAAGATAACACCACTGAGGAACGGAACTGAGGAACATGCTGGGCATGCTATCAATCTCTGAACCACACCTACCTCAGACTATCACTGGGGGATTCTGGGAAAATATTCTACCTCCAGCCCCTCATTAGGGGTTTCTAGGCAGGTGATATACCACTGAGCCATATACTATACACTACCCACCACTGTGGGGCCCTAGGCAGGATGTATAAAAACAAGCCACATTCCCAGTCCCCCCACTGGGGGATTCTAGGCACGTTTTCTACCTCTGAGCCACGCCTCCAGCTCTTCGCTGGGGACTCTAGTAAGGGGATCTACAGCTGAGCCCTACCCGAGCCCCTGGTTGCTGAAGATCCTTCAGTCTCAAGCTGAGGAGCCGGACAAAGGCAAGACAAAATGGGACAAAGGTGGAACAAAGGCAAGAGGCATGAGGAACTGGGGCAGATCTGTGAGAGGCAAGGCCAGGGGTTAGTCCAAGCAAAGTACAGGGAGACCCTTCTTGAAGTCTAGTGAACGGTTCAGAGAATGGAGAGTGAGGTGGGTGAGGAGCTAGTCTGAACTGGGACCAGAATATGGGAACAGAGCGGAGTGGGCCCCACAGAAGGGAAGCAACGAGACCAGGTGAGAGAGCCAGTGGGTCATATGAGGAGAACTGACTGTGTCTGGGGAGACGGTGAGACACAAAATGAAGATGCCAAGTTCAGAAGAGACCTAGTGTGAAGTGCCCAGTGTCTCCCCAGTGCTAACTAAAGTCTTCCTTAGCCAAGGTGATGGGGCTGAGTAACACAAGAGCAGCCGGTTAACGCAAGGAGAAGGGTGCATGGGGCAGCACGCCCAGCAAATGCTGAGGGGCACATTATTCATGCTTGATGCTGCTATTGCCTGATGGTTTCCTAGTATGTCTCCATGTCCCCTCTTCATCCCACACCCTTCCCCAGGCCCCTCCACCCTCCCCAGGTCTCTCCCTCGAAGCCCACACTGAACACTGCCTACTCTCCCCACACATGCCTGCATCCTTTCTTCTTCACTGACTTGCTCCCCAGACCCGAGTTCAAAGGAATCTCCCCATGGTTCTCCCAGGTCGTGACATAGTTTGACAGTGCTCTCGCTTATCTCCCTTGGTGTGGCGCCCAGTTTCTGCATGCCAGATTTTCTCTACTTGTGCATCGCTCAGTATAAGCAAAAAACTAGCAGTGACTCTCCATGTCCTCCTGTACCTCACTCCAGAAACATAACTGCATACCAAGTACATACATGTTTCCCTAAGTGGTTCAGGAAGAGAGTCAGCACAGAAACAGAAGATACGGAGCCCAAGGGGCTGGGAAACAGAAAGACATTGCACAGAAAGGAAGACAGATTTTTTAAAAGGCAGAAAAACATACATACACAGAGAAAGAGGGAGAAATAGAGACAGAGAAAAAGAGGGGAAGAAATAGAGATGTGGAAAGAGAGAGGGAGCGGCAGAAAGTCTGAGACAGACACAGAGAGCAGGGGTGGGGAGGGAGGCCAGCAAAACCCTGAGAGATGCAGATATAGCAAATCATTGAGATGGAGGGAGACAGATACAGAGAACCAGAGAGCCCAAAGGTGGGCAAACTTGGAGGACAGGTGTCCAGAGCTCTATGTTATTCAGATGAGGGACTCAGCAGGGCTGTCACTCACACTGATACAAAGAGAAGTCATTGAGATAGCCTCCCGCCCATCTTCCGGGGAGCACGGCACCAGGTTTCTGGGGACATACAATGCCCGATTGTTGGAAGTCTCTCGCCCCATATTGCTCATGCCACTTCCCAGCCCGGGTTAGGGGTGGGGGACAGCTTAGTGAAACACCCTTTCTCAATAGCTGGGTGGCAGCTCCCTCTCTCCTCAGAACACGGAGGTCTTCAGCACCCACAGAGGGACTTACAGGTAGGTGAGTCAGCCTGACCCCACTGAACCTGGGCAGCTGGTTCCAGTGCCTCAGAGATACAAACCCAGGAGGAAAAGCTGCAGGCTCCCTAGAGAGTATAGGTGGGGTATCTGTGGAGCCTAGGGCACCACTGGCTAACTTGGGAACTGGCATTCAGTCCTCAGTCTTTTGTTTGTTTGTTTGTTTGTTTGTTTTGTTTTGTTTTTTTTTGTTTTTTTTTTGAGACAGGGTTTCTCTGTGTAGTCTTGGCTGTCCTGGAACTCACTCTGTAGACCAGGCTGGCCTCAAACTCAGAAATCCGCCTGCCTCTGCCTCCCAAGTGCTGGGATTAAAGGCATGTGCCACCACCGCCCGGCCAGTCCTCAGTCTTATTATGTCCCAAATCCTACAAATGCAAAACTAAGAATGAGCTCCCATCTCCCTCTACCTCAGTCCTAAAGGTTTCGGCCTAACTCTCCTCTTTTGGACCAGGGGTCCAGGCTCTTCCCTCCTCCTCAAACTAAAGAGTCCTGGATCAATACCCTCCACTTAGACTTGTGGTCTAGGCCCTAGCCTTCTTCCCTTAACCCAGGAGTCCAGGTGCCAGCCGTCCCTTAAGCTCAGGGGTCCAAGCCTCAGTCTTTCTCCTTCAGACCCAGGAGAGCAGAACCATTTCCTCCCTCAAAATTCAGAGATCCAGGGTCACTATGTTCCAGAGCAGGCCACTGGCTTTCCTGTAGCTATCTGGTCAAGGGTCACCAGAAGCAGAACTGTGGGGCAGAAGGAATGTACGTGGGAGGCTTGGGTGAAGAAAAGGGTGTGTCTGGCTTCCTCTGGCTCAGAGACTAGAAGAGAGAGGGGTTAAAAGGGAGCTGGGAGACTCTGAAGACAGAGCCCGCCTCCATCTGGGAGGCCACAGAGCCAGGCAGGTTTCTGGAGACAGTCGGGACCCAGCACCCAGGTGCCCCGTATTTCATGCAGGTCGGATCATAAAGCAGCCTTCTGTCAGTCGCTCTGCCCCTTCTCTGGTAGAGCACCCTGCCTTGCTGACTTTCTCTGCCTCTGGCTTCCTGTGATAGGTGGTGTCATTTCCCCCACCTGAGTGCTGGCAGGTTCACTGCTGGCCACCAGCAGGTAAGGCCACAGGTGCTGCAGCGCCTACAGGTGTGGGGTGAGCATAAGGTAAGGATGGAGACAAGGTGCAAAAGGAAAATCCCACAGAGGGGAAGAGCGTCAGGGGCCCCTTGGACTAACCTCTCTGATAATAGAAAGGGACACCCGAGCCCAGGGCTGTGTTTCTTCCCCAAAGCCACTGGAAGCATGGACATGGTCTGCATACTGTCTTGCATCTGCTCTCATGGGACCCTAAGATTCAAGGTGTGGGCTGGGAAATGAGAAACCAGGAGGTGAGAAGGGCATGTGTGTGTGTATGTGTGTGTGTGTGTGTGTGTGTGTCTGTTAGCAAATCAAATGAGGGCAGGAGAGCAGGACAGAACAGGAAGGATGGAGAGGGTGAGGAAGGAGCAGGGGTGGGGTCCTAAACAGAGACTGAGCCGTGACTAATGGAATCGTTGGCTTCCCCTCTCAAGATGTCCATGAAGATGCTGACAGTGAAGACACTGGCCTTGTGCTTGGTTCTTGCTAAGTCAGGTGATTAAAGGAACATAGAAGGGGGAGGGGCTGGTAGATGGATTGGCACCGTTGACAGACAGTAGATTTAGGACAGAACTATGCAGCTTTGAGATGAGGAAGGCCCTGAGGGGACTGGCTGAGAACAAGTCTGGAGGGTGGGTTTGATAAGGGATGAGTGACCGTGAGGATAGGGATAGCTGGGCATGGCGATGCGCGCCTTTGATCCTAGCACTAGGAAAGCAGAAGCAGGTGATCTCTGAGTTTGAGTCCAGGTGAGCTACAGAGTGAGTTCCAGGCCAGTCAGGAATACACCAGGAAACTCAGTCTCAAAAGGAGGTGGGGGGGGGGGGTGTGCTGGAGAGATGGCTCAGAGGTTAAGAGCACCGGCTGTTCTTCCAGAGGTCCTGAGTTCAATTCCCAGCAACCACATGGTGACTCATAACCATCTGTAATGGGATCTGATGCCCTCTTCTGGCATGCAGGCTTATGTACAAGGAGAACATTGTATACATAATAAGTAAATAAATCTTTAAAAAGAAACAGAGGGTGGAGGTAGAGTAGAGGGAGGGGAGGTAGATTTGGAGGTGACAATGAGATTAGGGACCCATTTGATTGCAGCTCATCTCAGAAGGGTCTAGGCTCTCTGAGCTCTTCTCTCACTCAGACCCTTCCTCCCTCAGCCTGGTCAGAGGAGCAGGATAAGGTGGTACACGGAAGCCCCTGTTTGAAGAACTCCCACCCTTTCCAAGCTGCCCTCTACACCTCAGGTCACTTGCTGTGTGGTGGAGTCCTCGTTGACCCACAGTGGGTGCTGACAGCCGCCCACTGCAACAAACCGTGAGTTTCCTCTGTCTTTAAGAAGTTGATGTAAGGGGGTCCAGAGGGTGCCTTGTAGACTTCAGAAGGGAGGCAGACCTGAGCATCCATCATTTTGTAAGCAACTCTCTTCAGCCAGGTATCCACAGATTCTGGGACCCTGGAGGTATTTCAAGACCCTTAAAAAAAATAATGCATCATTTGTATATGGATATCCTTTCATGATCCTTGCATCTCCTAAATTGGGCCTGGCATTCACCACTATGGTCTTAGCATTTGAGAGATGGAGGCAGGAAAATCAAAAGCACAAACTGAGCCCTAGCTACACAGGAAGCTTGAGGCCTTCTTGAGCTGTAAGAGACTCCCTCAAAAAATGAGAGCCGGAATGATATCTAAGTGGTTTAACTTGCTTCACAATCATTAGGACTGAAGTGCAGATCCAAGCACTGGTGTCACAAGCCAGGCAGCTGCAAATGCCTGCAAGTCCAACTCAGAGGGTTCCAACTCCTTCTGCTGGCCTCTGCACATGCATAGCTATATACAACACACACACACATTTATGAAATAAGTAGTAAGTAAAATTATCTTTAGATTATGTGTAGTACCCATGGCAATGTAAATGCAACATAAATAGCTGTTAAATTGTTTTGTTTGAGAAACAATAATGAGAAAAAAATCTGTATATGTTTAACACAAGCACATGCCCCTCAGATACCTGTATTAAATGTTGAATTTATTATTCTTGTTGCATAGGTGTGCACATGCCACAGTGCACCTGTGCAGTTCACAGGACAACTTTGTAGAGTCAGGACCTTTCTGCCCACATTCATGTAGGTTCTGGAGCGTGAGCTCAGCTTATCAGGCTTGTGTGGCGGTCACTTTACCTGCTGACACATCTTGCCAGCTCCTCCTCTCTTGTTGCTTGTCTTTGAGTCAGGGTCTCTCTGTATTGCCCTATTGGCTTGGGATATTTTATATAGACCAGGTTGGCCTCAAACTCATAGAAATCCTCCAGCATCTGCCTCCAGAGTGCTAGGATTAAAGGTATGCACCACCACGCTCTGCTGCTCCTCCAATATTTTCAACCTGTGGTCAATTAAATCTGTGCAAGTAGAACCTGCAGCTATGGCATTTGGCTGCCAAGTTGTGCAGTAGAAAAGTTTTAAAGGCAAAATTCTAGGAAAAAAAAAAGAGCTTTCCTTTTACTGAGCTGGGGAAGATTGAGGGAGGGAGGAAGAGGAAAGAGGGGGGAGTGGGGCAGGTGACCTCTCTGGGAGCCTCCGATGAAGCCCAGGACTGTAAGTGAGCCCTAGCTGTCTTATTCCTAGGAATCTGGAGGTGTGCTTGGGGAAACACAATCTACGGCAAACAGAGACTTTCCAAAGGCAAATCTCTGTGGACAGGACTATTGTCCATCCCCGCTACAACCCTGAAACCCATAACAATGACATCATGATGGTGCATCTAAAATATCCAGTCAAATTTTCTCAAAAGATCCAGCCTCTGCCCTTGAAGAAAGATTGCTTTGATGAGAATCTCAACTGTCAGATCCTAGGCTGGGGCAAGATGGAAAATGGTCAGTGAGGGGAGATGGTTGGGAGTGGCCAAAGGGTCCAAAGGGAGGGGGATAGGGTCTAATGATGGAAGTAGGATGGTAAATTATGAAGGTGAGAAGGAAGACGGTGGGCCATGAGAAGATGCTGCCAGAGAGGATCAGTAGGCCACTCTGTCTATGGGTAAAACACAAATGGAGAAAGGCCACAAAATGAAGGGCCAATGAGAAGAGAAATGAGAACTCATGGAGTAGTAATGATTAGCAAAGTTAGGCCAAGAATGGTGGAGAGAGGGACCAGTCGGGAGACAGTGACAAGGACAATGGATTCTAAGCATGAAACAAAAAGGGAATCCGTGGGTGGGGGACAGGGGAAGGGCAGTAAGTCAGCTGATGAAGACATGACGGGAAAGGGGTGTGAGAGCCTGGCCCATCTCCCTCCTCCTAGGTGACTTCCCAGATACCATTCAGTGTGCTGATGTTCAACTGGTGTCCCGGGAGGAGTGTGAGCGTGCCTACCCTGGCAAGATCACCCAAAGCATGGTGTGTGCAGGCGACAAGAAAGAAGGGAATGATTCCTGTCAGGTGAGACTGGAAACAAAGATCTGAAATCAACCACACACAGGAAGACAGAGACACAGACCAAAACAGAGCTGAATGGAGATTGAGAAAGTCAGCCTGGGAGGACACTGGAGGACAAGACAGGAGAAGAGAATCCACCTCACACATGTAAAGACAGATAAGAGAGAATCAAGGCAGCTCAGGGCTGAGAGGTTGACTCATTTAGTAAGATACTCACCATGCAAGTATGGGGACCTGAGTTGTAGGGCATGATGAATAGCATATACTTGTCATCCTAGAACTTGAGGACAGAGGCAGCCATATCCATGGGGTTCATTGGCCAGCCAGCCTAAGCTAATGGGTGAGATCAGCCCAGTGAGAAACCCTGTCTCAAAGCACACAGTGGATGACTCCTAACAGAAGGTTCCTATGACTGCTGGTCTCCACCAGCACACACACATATCTGCATGTGCACATGCTTCACATGTGTGTACACACACACACACACACACACACACACATACACACACACACATGAGAGAGACACCCAGCAGAAACAAGAAGTTTAGATGCAAGGTCAGAGACACCAAGAGCCAGAGAGATGCTAAAATGTGCTGAGAACCTAATATAGGGTGAACCTAGCAAGCCTGAAAATCTAAGAAACAATTTTAATGAATGGTCACCTTGGTGGGAGTTTTGAACAGCTGGGCAGACCAAAGGGCCAGAGAGATGCTACAGAGAACCATCCTTCCTCATAGTTGCAGCCATGAAATCCACTTGGAAATATCTGAGCTCCAGATGAGGGGGCATCCCAGCTACAAGGAGGGAGTCTATGTTCATCCCTCAAAACCTACAGCTGGGCTCACTTGGAACTCATTCACAAGCCTCATCTTGTCCCCAGATCCACAGCAATTCTCCTGCATCAGCCTGTGGGCTACTGGGATCACAGGTGTACACCACCATACCTCTTCAATATCTTACCTGAAACCTCTCTACCTGTTATCCTCCCAGACTCCTTTTTAATGCCAGAATGACTCTAGACCATGGAGGGCCAACATCAACCTACCAAGAAAGTAAGGGTGGGGTGGGGGGGGGTAGGAAGACCAAGAAAGTGAGATAGTGGTTTGGAAGCAAAACAGGCAGGCATGGCTGGCCTGGGATCAAAGGATAGAGAACAGTTTCTGCCTCCCTCTTGAGTCCCTGCCTTCCCAGCCTCCCCCCTGAGCTTTCATCTTCCCCTCCCTCTCTCACTCTCTCTTCCTCTCTCTCTCCTCCACCGATAACCTTTATTTTTATGGACCTTGGTGTCTCTCTCTGTCCTGTGACAGACACTCTTTCTGCAGTGATGATAATAGACATGTATCCATACCAGACAGAAGAAGCAATAACAAACCAATGAATGACACCAAAGTCCAACTTGGTGAACCAGTGAGCTTTATAGGGGTTACTTACAGGAATATGGGTGAGGGGTTACTTACGGGAGCAGAAATGACTCATGGACAGCTGCATCACCAAAAGCTCACCCCAGCATGGGTGACAGCTCACCAAAGCCACAATAGGGAGCACACTGCACAGCCTGCAGGTAGCTTAACAGGTTGGAGAGTGTCTCCCTCTGGCAGCTGAGGTAGCCAGAGTCTCTTCCAGGCAGCTTATCTTGTCCAAGAGACTCTCGGTAGTTCTTACTGCTTATATACACTTGGGGAAGGAGGGACCTCGTGCCTCTAGTCAGTTCTAGTGCCGTCCTGAAGCATTTGAGTCGTTTGCGTATTAAGGATCTTCGCTATAGGATGGAAAGTTTCAACTCCCCTTAGAACATGTCTTAACAACCTTCCCTCCAAGATGGATGGTTTATCTAATCACCCTCTCTCTCATCTACACCTTTGTGGAACTTGGTGTCCTTGAGCCCTTCATCTATCTCTGTCTTTTCCTGGGAATTAAATCCAGGATCTTATGCGTGCTCAGCAAGTGCTCTATTGGTGAACTACAGCCCTGTCCCTCTTTAACTCTGAGAGTCTTCCTACATAGCACAAGGTAGCCTTAAACTTGCAGTCTTCCCACCTGTCATCCTGAGTAGGTCAGGTCACGGGCATGACCACCAATCCAGCCTTTCCTCCGTCTCCAAGTATCTGTAACTCTCCCATCCTTCCCTCCCCCGACTTCTCTTCCTGCTCTTGCTCCTCCCCCCTTTTCCTCATTCTATGTGAGTTTCTGACTTTCTCTCTCTTTCACACAGGGTGATTCTGGAGGTCCCCTGGTATGTGGGGGTCACCTCAGAGGGCTTGTGTCATGGGGTGACATGCCCTGTGGATCAAAGGAGAAGCCAGGAGTTTATACCGATGTCTGCACTCATACCAGATGGATCCAAAACATCATCAGAAACAAGTGGATCTGACATAAGACATCCAGTTCTTGACCTATGACTCCCCTGACCATAGTTGGTTCCATATTCTCTCTCCCTGAAACCCTGCCCTGCTCTCAGAGCCTTCAGATGTCCAGCTCTGACCCTGGTACTTAATAAATACAGTGACACTGAACACAGAACACTGCTAAATATACTTTGCTCATTCCTTGCACCCCAGGGACTTTGGAGGATATAGGCTACAATCCTACTCCATGGGTGTGGTTAGCAGATAGAATCCCAGTGTGGCCACTTACAGACTGGGTACCCTTGGGAAGTGCTTTTCTTTAAAGTGTGAATGCTCTCATCTGTAAAATTGGGATAATATTGCGGCTGGAGAAATGCTCAGTGGTTAACAGCACTTACAGCAAGAATAAGGAGTAAGCCCCCTTCACTTCTACCTGTAAAAGGAAGGCACACAGTGGGTGCTTTTCTTTGTTATATTTCTGCTTCTTAGAAGCCTAGTTTTGCCCTCTGCCACAACCCAATGACATCCACCGTGGACGGCACGCCCTCAAGCTTTTGTGTTATAGCAGAGGTGAGGCAGCGTACAGCCCACTACACTGCAGAGCCCTTTCTTCTGAGTCAGAAACCAAGAACGACTCTTGATGCAGATCCTCAGTGGTAGAATGGTTTTTGTTGTGGTTTTGTGTGTGTGTGTGTGTGTGTGTGTGTGTGTGTGTGTGACTGGCCTTAAACTCACAGAGATCCACCTACCTCTGCTTCCCTGTTGCTGGGATTAAAGGCATGAGCCACGGTGCCCAATTTTATCCTCTTACTTTTGCTGCTGCTGAAGTTACTAAAGTAACAAACCCCATCTTGTCTCAACTCCGTGGCAGCTTAGGTTGCTCTCAGCCCTCTCCACACCTTCCCCAAAAACAGCCCAGCATGGAGGGTAGAGTGTTTTTAAGGGCAAAAAACATAATTACATCTGTACTAGCTGAGGGTCAGTGTAACCTTGCAACATTTTTTGACAGAATATAGACATTATTTCAGACACAATATAACAATTTTGATTTATGGGTTTTTTGTTATTCTATGTTTAGTTTGTATAAAATATTAAGTGTTTTGGTGAATACATCTGGAAGATCGTCAGGATCATGGAAACTCCAAATGTGTTGCCAAGCTGGGCATGACGTGGTGGCACACGCCTTTGATCCCAGCACTCAGGAGGCAGAGGCAGGTGGATCTCTGTTTGAGGCTACCCTGGTCTACAAAGTGAGTTCCAGGACAGCCAGGACTATATAACAAACAAACCAACAAACGAACAGACCAGAAAGGTGAAAGGATTGTACGGCTGTGGTAGGAGTAAGAGTGATGGCAGACAAGTGTCATAAAGGACCTCAGATACCGACATGTGAGGTGAGGACTTTCTCCTGGAGGTCACAGGAAGACAAGGAAAGTTTGAGAGCAGCCATATGTGCAGTGAGACAAAGGGAAGAGACCATAACTGTGGGCTGTGGGAGGCGGTTTGGACGGTGGTGCAAGGAGGGGAGAGGTGGACCTGGGACTGGGGCAGGGTTGAAGAAAGGTGACTGGGTGTGGAGGCTGGGTGGGTGGCCCTAGCAATGAAGGAACATCCTGGGTGTGAGAGTCTCTGGAGACCACACCAGACACCGAAGGCTGGGATCTGAGGCAGAAGTTTGTGACATGCCTGATGACATCCAATGAAGGGTCAAGCAGGGGAACCAGGCTTGCCTGAGAGAAAGAACAGTTCAGAGCTGAATATTAGAACTTTCTTTATGCAGCTGAGGATGGCCTTGAGCCTCTCATCTTCTTGGCTCCGCCTACTGAATTACAAGCATGCACCGCAATGCTCAGTTTTATGTGGTGCTGGGAAATGAACCTGGAGCTTCGGACATGTTGGGCAAGTCCTCTGCTAGAGCTTCAGCCTAAGAACCAATGAAATACTGACTTTATAGTCAAGTCACAATGGGGAGGAGGAGAGCTGACATTGTCAGTGGATGGGAAGATGAACTTGTGACAGCCAGTTCAGACAGACAGTGCTGATTGGCACTCTCCAAATGTTATTAGGAGCAGCAGTCATGAAACTAATCAGAGTCACTAAGAAAAAATCCAGAAAGTGGGTGTCACAGGCCCCGAGTCGGGAGCGATGAAAGTAGCCTGATCCAGCCACACAGGCTTGTCACCACACGCCTTAGTTAGGATTACTGTTGCTGTGATGAAACGCTATGAGCAAGGCAGCTGATTTAAAAAGCGTTTAACTGGGAGCTCCCTGACAGCTTCTCACACTGAGTCAATGGCCATCATGGCAGGGAGCAGGGTGGGAGTCAGGCAGGCATGGCACTGAGCAGAAGCTGGGAGCTTTCATCTTGGAGTTGCAAGCGGAGAATGAGAGTGGGCGTGGTATAGAAAAGTATAGAAAGTCTGTGTCCACAGTCTGGGTCCACAGTCTGGGTCCACAGTCTGCGTCCACAGTCTGGGTCCACAGTCTGCGTCCACAGTCTG